GATTATTTATTATTTGATGCCTGTAGAGGGCATTCAGATGTCTCTTATTCAGAAAACTGATATGCATAATCCTATTAATGTTTCTGTTTCGTCATATATGGGGGTTGGTAGGCAGTACTCACTGGGGATTTCCTTCTGTCTGACCTTTTGGGTCATGAAATGTAAGGTTTGGAAGAGTCCTGGAGAATATCTAATTCAGGCCACTGCCCAGTGCAGTAATCCACTGCTATTGCAATATTGGATTGTAATATAGTAATTGCCTTTTTTATGAAACTGAAATAAATAAACTTAAAGTATAGATTTTTTTTCTGTTAAAAATAGTCTCACTTTTCTAAGACAATCTGGGAGACAATATTGCTTCTCACCCTCTGGAAAGACAAGTTTAATTGTGGACCCTGCCTACTAGCTCCAGGAGATATAACATCCTGCGGTAGAAAATATCCTCTGGTGGACTCAGAGAATAGGCATTTAAACTAAACGTTCTCAAATGAAAATGACCTTACTAAGACAAGGATATGTTACAACATAAGCAACAAGTATTTTGGTGAACTTAACACCAGATGGTAATTATTCAGGCACATTTGGAAACTTAAGTAAAATACTCCATCACTTGAAATAATCACTTTTTATAATGGATACTGTCTACATCTTCCACTCATAATGCTTAATCCTTTCTCACCATTTCTGTCATTTTTTTTCAGAGAAAATTCTTAAGGAGGAAAAATTGGAATAGGTCTATGATGCCTTTTGACTGGTAGCACTAGGAACCTTCTATATTGAAGGACTCTTACAATTTAAATATAATACAAGGAGAAAGGATAATATAAATATTAATTAAAAGTTTTCTTACAATCATCAATATTAAGGATAGCTTTTGTAAATAAAGTTAAGATAGAAAAGAAGAAGAAGATGAGGCTTGAGCAAAAGAGGGTCATTGCCTTTATTTGCTTATGGAAGAAGTGTTCCAACTTCACTGAAATTAATAGTAGCAGTCATGAGAACTGCCAAATGAATATATAAAATTGCTTTAAGCCAAGCAATGTTACTTTATTCACTCATATCCCAGTTGTTTTCCAATTGTAAACTATGAACCTTTTGTCAGGTTCTAAGGGGACATGACTGAGGTCAAGATCTTCCATATGCAAATGTTTATTTTAATATTAAGCTATAGTGTTTCTATATAGAAATAACTTTTGTTTATGTATTTTATTTTTATTCTTATTTACTCATCTCTGTGGTTAAAAGTTTTGTGGGTAAAAACATCAAATTATACAAAACACAACAATATATAAATGAACTAAAGCATCTGTTAAAAGCAGACATTCAAAAAATTACTGTATGAGTAATAAAAATCTTGAAACACTATGAAGACTAGCATAGGAAGATTAATTAACTGAGAAGATAAAAACATTGATGGTGCTGAAAAGGTAGCAATTAAGGACCAGGGAAGCACCTTTATTGTAAACTACTAGTACATTGGAAACATGTAACCACTTGCTACATTTCTGTGTATGAAGACCCTCAAAGCAATGCAAGTTATGAACAGAAAGAGACACCAAAAAGATACTCTTTTCTATGTCAATAACAGCTACTCATAAGAAGATATTGATCAAAAATGGAAAATTCAACTGCTTTTGAGGATAAAAGCTGCATTTACAGAAAACCTGCTCTTTCAGCTGAGCAGTGGTTCAAAGAGAAGGCACATATTTCAGTGTTTTCAAAATGCTACATTTATGTTCTGTTATCATATAATGAGCTCTAAAGACAAATTGTAAAGGCTCAGAAGAGGATATGAACTCAAATCACACTGCAGCTTGTTCCTCCCATCAATAAAAGAGTTATGTTCTCAAAGACCAATCTGAATACAACATGCAAATAGTTTCTGCAAGCTTAGCTTTTTGATAGAGCGTGAAGCATTAAAGTAGTTTTGAAATAAAGTTGGACTCACAAGGCAAATTGCATAAACAGATCAGTAAACAAGGCTGGCTTCTTGTCTTTGTACAAGGGGACTAAAGGAGATCACAGAACAGTCTATATATTCACGACAAGTTAGAGTCATTGGTTTCAATCCATAAATTTTGTTACTTAGTGTAAACTGATTTATTTGGGGAATACTAGGTTAATATGATATATGAAACTTAAATAAGCTTTGGGTCAAGGCTTCAGTATCAAGATGCAGAGGATCTTTCCTTGTTGTACTATTTCCGTATCTGTGCTTCTGTTTCTCAGCTATACATCCTTTGAGTAAAAAAGGTTTTCTAGATGTAATCCCCTATAATAATCTCCCTTCCCCCCACCTCTGCAGTTGATTAATCCTTCTGTTTATACTTTCATCCTCTTATGATTAGTTATCATTATGCATCCCTAGGTTCACTTATATATGCCACTGGCTGTCCAGAAAACTACTGAGAGAGGGAACGATTCTACAAAGCCATGGCTGTGGGGGAAAGAATGAGCGTTTCTGATTGCCTTATCTGACCTGATGAAGAATTGCTGCCTGTATCCATCCATCCTTCCTCATTTTCTTTTCTGCTATGATTATTCCTTAGCATACAAACTTTCTTCTGTATCAAATAACAATCTTAAAAGCTCAGTCCCCTACAGATCTGGAGTCTACACATAACCTGGCATTCTCATATTCAATAGTCTGCATACTCTGGCTAACTCAATTTGACGCTCTCATCTCCCTTAACTTGCTTAAACCATCTTGCTCCAATGCATGAGAATCTAAGCTGCTGTCCTTGGGCATTCTGTACTACAAAAATTAAAAGCCACAAGAAATTTCAAATTCAGTAAGGAGGAGCTGAAGGCTGTATGAGTGAAATTAGGTAAAGTACAAGTGTTAGGACTATCTACACATAATCTGACGAAGGAGGTTATGCTTTAGCGGGTCTTGAAATTACTTGGGCCAGTATAAAAACATCTTTGGGATGTTTCTTTGATGGAAGAAAAAAGGGCAAGAATGAAGTTGCTTCTGGAACAGAAGCAAGAAAAAAAAAAGAATTCACAACTTAATACTACACCAAGGCTTTATCCATGCATTTTTTATGGTCAAATGGAAATGCTTTAATGTGATAATATTTGAGTGCAAGCTTATCATGTGATCCAGGACAGTAACGCTGGTCCTCAAATTAAAGCATTACTACTAAGGGGAAATATTATACAGCAGTTGCAGGAGTAACTCTTGTTAATGTAGGAAGTCCCGGAGACTGCAACTAATGAGTATTAATAATTGCATCCTCCTATCTTGTGTAGTTATTTGATTTTGACTGCACAATAAAATTATAATTTCTACAACTATTGTAGATGAACTGCCAAAATATCTGAAGTGCCATCTCACAATCCTCAGTGAATTAATTTTCAAAATACAATACAAAGGAATGATCTAAATGATGGGGTTGGGAACATTATTACCTCATCCTATCTAGAAAGTGATTCACCATTCGCCTCCACACAAGACTTTGCATGAGGCCAGAAACAAAGGATTATCGCTGACAAATTGGATTGAATTATATGATAGAACTGGAGTTTACACACCAGCTTGTAGCCTGTTGATGAACAGTTCAAAATTACAAAGGAATGTAAGGGAACAGGCAGCATTTTTAACAAATTGCCAAAGAGGGAATGCTGAATGCAGAAGCACAAACCCTGGGTAAGGTTTTTTTAGTAGGCCTCCAGTGCAGGCTGGTCTTCAAGATCTACAGGTTTTCTGGACATGAGGTTCCTGAGGGATCTTCTGCTGAATGTGTCATCATCACTTGTATGTGTGCCTCCCACTTTCTTTCTTGCTTTCTTCCTTCCCTGTTTTGATCTTACCTATCATCCTGTGCACCTCTGTTCAGTGACATTTACTTAACTAATTCCCAAACCCGTTACTCTGTAACCCCCATTTCCATTAGTCCGCAGCCTATCTCAGCTAATGCACTAGCTAATTGAGCCCCACCCTGAGCATCTTGTGTGATCTCCAGCCCATAGCCTTGGCTCAGAGGAATGGCACATGGCCTATGATCTGCCAGTTTCGTTTCTTTCTTTTTTGTATTAAGGATGCACCCAATTTTATTTTATTTTTATTTTTTTGCACCAAGAGCTCACAGTCCGGATCTCTCCCTATAGATCAATCTATATCAGAGCTATGAATGAGTCTCAATATATATTCTGTGGATGCCTTTACACTGTGCAGTGCTGTGATGCATGGTGCATGCTCCTTTTGCATGCTTTTAATCTTGCATATTTGACAAAACTTGCTCTTGTTCAATGGTTGAATGCATTCTCCTTGAACCCATCCCTTTACTGCTGCTGTCTGCTGCTATCTTGAAAAGATGGAATTTTGTGTTACTTTACAATTTTTTACTTTGAAACACAGACACAACGTGAGCTCTGACAGGAGAACTCTGGGGGTGAGAAGATAGGATTCATTTGAGGATGGTAGTAAAGCATCACTTGAATTCTAGTGAACAGTATTCCTGAATTTTATCAGGAATTGTGGGAAACGTCTAGAAGTAGAGCTATGAATATGTAATCTGTAGTCTATAGAGCAGCAGAATCTAAAACTTAAAACAGAAGTCTTTAAATAATTTCAACTCTGCTAAAAGCTACACAATACATTTTAGAGTACAATAATCAATAAGCATTGGTTCCTTCCAAGGATTGTATAGTTTCATAGACAATCCTAGCTACACTAATGTGAGAGTATTAAGTAATGGAATGAGCTTTCCAGCCACATGCTTCGTATTCAGTTGGGCTTTTATGTAATTATTATGTAGAATTATTTGTAACCCCACATGGCTGATGAAAAATCCATAGCATCTGTGCATAGAAAACGTTGGGTGAAAGAAAAATGAAGTAGTTGATCAGTATGAATAATCTGAACAATAGAGACAACACAGGAAAAAATCTCTGAGCTCAGAGTTCTCCCCAAGGCTCTTATATTCCTCTGTGCATGACAAACTAGACTGTGAAGGAGGTCCTAGATTCACACATTTCTGCTTGAATTTCTCCAGAGATTACTGCGTATGGACTTACCTGTGGCAGATGACAACACGGTCCATTTCAATTCTACCCTTATGGCATTGATCAGAACTGCCCTTGACATCAAGATTGCCAAAGGCAAGTGCCATTTCCATAGATCCAGTTATTTTGCTGGCAAATAAAAATATTGTGAAAAATTAGACTGTGTACAACATAAAGCACATTTTCAGATACTAATAATGAGGAAATGTTGAATACAAATGCTGCTTGTGGCAATGCCTTATACAAATAGAGGAAATTGATGCAGAATAAGTACTCTGCAATGTTGACAGCTACAGGAAGGTGAGAGAGCATCAGGTTTTTAAAAAAAAATACTTTCACATGTGCATTATTCATCTATTAATAATTCCTAGTTTACAGTTCTGTTAAGACTTTTTGTTGTTGTAATCTGCTTCAGTTTTCTCTTCTTTTATCACAGTGCATTCCTATGTCTCAATAAATTTTTGCCTTTATTTAGAAAAGTAGAAACATGAGACAGAAAATGGTGCTAGAATTTGTCTCTTTTGACTTGCCAGATGATTATAGAAATGTTTTCAGATCATAGACAATCAGAAGTGCTATTTTTCACCTCTAATTTGAAGTGTTATTGTTAAATGACTAAACATGTTTAAAGAATAATTTTATCAAATTTGAATATAAACTGTAATAGCATTTTTAAAAGCAAAATTAGTGTTGGTATTGATAAACAGTAAATATTTAACATTTCAATGGGAAGAAGTAGAACTGGGATGTCTAGCCATTTGTTACTTCCTCTCATTCCTGGTTTGAATCTTCCAGGGGGGGCTGACAAACAGCAGATGGATGCTGAGTTGAGAAAAGAAATGATGGCGATCTGGCCCAACCTATCCCAGAAAACTCTAGATCTTCTGGTCACCCCTCATAAATGTAAGAAATTTGTAATCATTACTCTCAGTGTCAGCCTCATCTGTGCCAACCCTATCTATTTCTACTTTTCTGTCATTTTCTCAGTATGGAAATACTACTTTATAATCCTTTTATAATAAGCAAGAACATATGAAAAAAATACTTTGAGCAAAAAAACTTTTCAGAAAGCTAAGGAAAAAATTATTTAAAAAAACAACAAATTTCTACTTCAGGGCTTTATATTAGTTAATATAATTCTTCCAGATAGAACATAGGAATAGTTACATATCTTCATCTTTATCCTGACTGTTTTGGGACTTAAAAACTCTCTTTTATAAGCCATTTAAGCATTAAAAAATAACATGATGTTAAAAACCATTTTTAACTATCAGTATCAGTTTTTGGATTCCTTTTCTTGAAATTCATTGTAACTTATTTCAGCTTTGTGGTTATAACTGATAACTACACAGATATTTATTTCTTTTTTTCAAAATCCAAAAGCTAGCTAAGAAGTCTCTAACCTCTTTTAATCCAGTGTATTGTTCTAAGGCACTGTTTTTTCCTTTAATTCTGAGCCAGAGCCCAAGTCATAGAATTGGGGGGCCAGAGGGGGGGGGAGGTTTGTCTAATTTTCCAATTCTGGATGGCACAGATCACTACCTTCTGAATGAAATATTCACTAGATATTTCATTGGCTCACAGTAATTTTCCTATGTATTTATAAAGGAGACAAATCCTATATCCTACCTAAACCATCAACTTAGATTATGACATACCTTAGAACAGTGTTTCTCAACCTTGACAATTTTAAGGCATGTGGACTTCAACTCCCAGAATTCCACAGCCAGCAATGCTGGCTGTGGAATTCTGGGAATTGAAGTCCACATGCCTTAAAATTGTCAAGGTTGAGAAACACTGCCTTAGAATGATGAACAATATTGAAATTAACAACCTCTGAAATATCCTCACTTAGGCTACACTTCACCCCAGATTAGACTGATATATGAGAGGGATAGAAGAGAAAACTACTCTAAAACTCAGGAGTTTTCTGGGGTGCTTAGCCACTGATTTGCTTCTTGCTGATTTAGGCAGAAAGCTTACTCTGGAAGAAAAGCAGGACTTTGTATTTTTTTTGCAAAGCATAAAATTGTTATAACAGATCAGAATATAAAGTCATCTTCTCCCTCCTCCTCCTCCTGACTGCCTGCAGGGTACTGTTTCATAAAATATTCCCATTAGATTTACTATTCAAGGCTATTTGTACTGTTCCTCGTTATGTGATGGTTTGTATTCGAAGACGGAATCACTCAACTTCCTTGTCCCTTCCAAATAGCCATTGGGGCAGCAGGTGTAGTATCCTGAGAGAATGCCACTGGTCCAATACTTTGAGTCTAAAGATTGGAGAGTTGCCAAGGAAGCACTAAGCTGGAGGAGGGTGTTTGATTTTTGTTTTGTCTTTCTTACTTTGCAGCTACTGACCTGACAGTGGGGAAAATCTATGCAGCCATGATGATCATGGAGTATTACCGCCAGAGTAAGGCTAAGAAGTTGCAGGCCATGAGGGAGGAGCAGGTATGTGAAAACTGTAAATGTAAAAAAAAAATGTGCCACAGTTTCCAAATCTGAAAATGTTGATGAACGCTTTCCATTTACAGCAAATCATGTGTACTTTAAAATAACCTTAAAATTTTTAAAAGGTGATGTCTTTCTTTAGTGATTACTCCTAATTCTTGTTACATGTTAGGTTACAACTCAACCCATTAAATGCAATTACTTGATCATTCTGGAGTACAACAAGTCTTGGACAGGTTCACCAGTGGACCAAATTATGTTTCACAAAGTGCTATGGCCTGGCTAGAAAATTCCATCACTTGCATGCATGTGTGCAAATCCATACACTTTTATATTCTCCTTTAATTTAATGTTTTTAGAGAGCCAAGAAACTTCAATAGCAAAGAATAGATGCACAATATAAAAATAATTTAAAAGTTCTTTCTTGTTTCAGTATAATAACAATTGTGATTTCCTTTTTGCCATCTGTGAGCTAGGTCTCCTTAGAACTGTTATTTTCATATTCTAAAAATGTATGAAGTTGGAAGGCAAACGATAAATCGTTTGTTCTAACAGTTTTCCAAGTGGTCGAAAATTTACTGAAGGAAAAAACGGTGATCTGATGCGTCTAGATTAGAAAATATCTCCAAAGTTTTTAAACATAAATATTTGTATCATCCCGTTCCCTTTAGAATCGGACACCACTTATGGTCCAGCGCATGGAACCACCTTCTCCATCCCAAGAAGGTGGCCAAGGACAAAATGCCCTTCCTTCCTCTCAACTGGATCAAGGAGGTGGAATGTGAGTGCTAGTTTATATAGGACAATTCCGTCCATACAGAAACAAGTACTTCAGATGACACACCTACTGAACCATTGTCACTACTAGTGCATTAGAAATTCAGTGAATGGTTAATACTCTGTCACTGGAAACAGGACCATAGTCAGTAAATCTGTGCCTTATTTTGAGGACAAGAGATTCCATCCATAACCTCTACAGAAAGGACGTGATAGATGACAATATGAAATTCTGTAGAGAAATTACCAATCGCTGTAGGCCAGGGATTGGGACTGAGAACTACATTTTCATTTTGTAATATTACTTAGCCTTCAAAAGCCACACCGGGCCTGGCAACTGACACAATGCTATCACCACAATCACATTACTATTAACCAGTGCTTTTTTTGTAAGAAAAAAAAAAGATGCTGGAACTCCCACATGTCATACAACCCGCTTTGCCTACCCTACAAGGTGCCGGAACTCCATTCTGGGCGTTCTATGAGGAAAAAAAGCCCTACTATTAACATCAAGAAGCTCAGAGATGCACTTTTGTAGTCAATAAAGATAGTCAGTTTCCCATTCTAAGGAAGTCTACTATGCCCCTCCCAAGTCTTCCAGTCTTTTTTGTGAAGAGGATGTGATGGTGCAGTGCACTGGAGAACACAATGATCACTCTTCATCTTCTAGACTAGCAGAATAAACACAGCCAAGTATATTGCCAGAATATCAACATAGATCTGGAAAAGCAAGGGCAGCTTAAAAGTGTTTTGATTTACACATAAGTTATAAATGCTTGGGGAATGGACAAATAAATGGATTATGATTGTGCACATAGACTCATAATGGTTTGGAAAATGTATGGTTGGAACATGACTTTTCTGTCTATTTCCAGGAGTGTACTAGAAGGAGGAATGAAGGAAAGTGAGTCATGGGTCACGCAAAGAGCGCAGGAGATGTTCCAGAAGACAGGAACCTGGAGCCCAGAGCGGGGGCGATTAGAGGAAATACCCAATAGCCGGACCAATTCCCAGGTGGTTTGTATGCCAGCAAGGTGTTTGAACTGGCAGTTATCTATCTCTGCTTTTTGTTTTTCTTATTCCTGCCTGTCATGCACTTATAAAGCCAGCTATACAGCAGAATTTTTCAGAAAAGTTTTCTTTACTATGACAAGTTCTATATTCCATCAGATCATAGGACCAAAAGATAGAACTTGATTAAGCCAATATGGAGTGAGTATTTATTTGAGTGACACATAACCGCAGTTATTGCCTTACCATTCTAACTACTTTATGAAACTTTGATAGCGCAATACAATAAGTATATGCTGAGTTGCAAACTGTATTTGTAGTGAAGGCAGACTGTTCATCTTTCCCTTTCATTCATATAATATTGTGTGAATTGATCTCGTTTGTATTTTTTTAAGAAAAAAATAGGGCTTCAAAAATAAAACAAACCTTCACAAACACAATACCCAAACTGTGTGCATTTTACAAGTTTTATTCTGAGAAATTACATGTGCATGTATATGTAAATTTCACTGATGTTCAATATCTCCTTGAGGTAATAAGGCAATTCTATCCTCCAGTGAAGGGTCCATTAACTTAACTTAAGGATCCATTAACTTAATCCCTTAACTATTTCCAGACATTTGCATTAATGTGTGTTATTCATCATATAGTAAAAATTCTACAATAATACGTAGTAATTAATTGACTCAAAGGGAATGTATTAGCAGCTGTAAGATACATTTGATAATAGTGATGATTATTAACATCTATTCACCTCTTATGCTAAAGTCATCTCACAGCCAACATTCTGCATTAATGAATCACCCCATACAGATATTCCTCAACTTACAATCATAATTGAGCCTGGAATTATAGTCTTAAGTCATGTTGTCAAATAGTCACTACATGACCACACCTGATTTTATGACTTTTTTTGCGGTTGGTGTAAAGCAAATACCAGGGTCATTAAGTGAATACTATAATTATTATATAAATCCACTGTCTGCACTGGGCTTCTGTCAACAAAATCATAAAGTGCAATCGTGTGATTGCAGCATGCTTCAAACAGTCATAAATGTGGACCAGTTGCCAAATACCCAAAATCCAACCATATGACTGGGGGAGGCATCAGAACTTCGAATTTTGATCATAAGTAGCCCTTGGGAGGTCTGTCATAACTTCAGACAGTCACTAAGAGACCGGTATTAAGTCAAGGACTATCTGTATATGTTACTGGTTGCTTATTCTGGAAGAGGATTGAGTTGTTATTAATAATGAGATTATTGACACCTTCTGACTCTTATTATTATTAATATTACTATTATTACATCCTCAAAATACCTACACAATTATTCTACTATACACTTTCTTTGAAGAATCTGGAAGTGGCCTTAGGCTGTGAACTTATGGATTTAGGAGGATGCTTCCAAATTAGGCTTTTATTCTACAATTGCTCTACATGTCAGACCTCTCTTGGTTCACATGAAAAGCACTGCAGGACTGTATTTCCTTGGATATGTAGGACCAGGTTGGGGACAGATATATTTAACCACCTTCAGTGCTGGAAAGGTAATCAAATTCATATTATAATTAAAATCAAGAATTTTCAAGGATTGGAAGAGTAGAAAGTAATATCTCTCAAACTGAGCCCACAGTATCAATTAATCAATATAAATTCCATCCTAATTAGATTGAAATTAATAGATAAATCTAACTGTATTGTTTCAAATTAGGTAATATGAAATCATCATCATCATAACAAAGATAATATAGTAACAAGGAGAATCTGGGTATTTCTTTCCCTAAAAAAACATTAATTTATCAATTTATTTTAAATATTTAAATGGAATTAACATAGGCATTGCTCTTTAAATATCAGTCTTGATTCAAAATGTATGTGTCACCTCATGGCAAGATGGGTAGCAAATACATTTAATAAATACATAAATAAATAAATATCAATTCAACAGCCTTTTCCTCATCACTGGAAGTTTTTAAGAAGAGACTGGACAGCTATTTGTCTGAAATGGAATAGGGTTTCCTGCCTGAGCAGGGGATTGGACTAGATGACCTCCAAGGTCCCTTCCAACTTTATTATTATTATTATTATTATTATTATTATTATTATTATTATTATTATTATTATTATTATTATTATTATTATTTTACCTTCATGATAAATTTTGAACTGTTCTTATATATTAAACTGGATATTTTCCTAGGGAAAGTAGTAGTTATTGGACAATTATATACAGACTAATTCTCTCTACAACCTTTTGCACTTTCTTACTCATGGTATCATATTTGATCTACTCCAATTTTTGCACCAGTAACTTCTACAAAGTTACATAAAGATAGTGAACATTGGAAAAAAAAACCAAAATATAATCTCCATAAAAGGATATTTTATTGATATTCAGCTAAACTAATTTCTTTAATTTCATCAGATTGTTTTACTGGGTTTACCAAAGTTTATAACACAAAATTAAAAATTAATGGAGTTGAGGAACATTCCTAATGAGAGATTCTTGGTGCTCCCTGAGCTTGTTTTCTTGCAGGCATTTCATAACTTAAACTAGGTAACATCATCGGTTCTAGTCCTAGAAACAATCAAGCTTAGAGAGCATCAAGGACCCTCATTTGAACCCAAACTTACAAATATTCTCTTTTATTAGAACATTCCTAATGAATTCCATGGTGCATTTTAACCACTAATAAAATAACCGGATTAGCAGTTAATATGAGGATAGATTAAGATAGTAAATTATAGTAAAATAAATAGATTATATAGGAAATCTAAACTTAGATATAAATTTGATTTGACCCATATGAAAAGCTTTTTCACATCCAAAAAAGCCAGCAGTATAGGTAGATGAATGTTATCTGCGTACAAAGCTATTATATCAAATGGAAGCCATATATTATGTGCAACTTGATGCACTTCATATAACCAGATTATGCAGGATGAGTTATTGCAAGTAATAACTACTTGTCGTTGTTGTTGTTAATTGCGAAGTCGTGTCCGACCCATCGCGACCCCATGGATAACATTTCTCCAGGTCTTCCTGTCCTCTACCATCTTCTGGAGTCCATTTAAGTTCACATCTACTGCTTCAGTAACTCCATCCAGCCACCTCATTCTATGTCATCCCCTTCTTCTATTGCCCTCAATCTTTCCCAGCATTAGGCCCTTCTCCAGTGAGTCCTTCCTTCTCATTAGGTGGCCAAAGTATTTGAGTTTCAACTTCAGGATCTGGCCTTCTAAAGAGCAGTCGGGGTTGATATCTTCTAGGACTGACCGGTTTGAACACCTTGCAGTCCAAGGGACTCGCAGGAGTCTTCTCCAGCACCATAGTTCAAAGGCCTCAATTCTTTGGCGCTCAGCCTTTCTTATGGTCCAACTTTCACAGCCATACATTGCAACTGGGAAAACCATGGCCTGGACTATAAGCACTTTTGTTGGCAGAGAGATGTCTCTGCTTTTTAGTATGCTGTTTAGATTTGCCATAGCTTTCTTCCCCAGGAGCAAGCGTTTTTTAATTTCTTGGCTGCAGTCCCCATCTGAGGTGATCTTGAAGCCCAGAAAAATAAAATCTGTCACTACCTCCATTTCTTCCCCATCTATTTGCCAGGAATTGAGAGGGCCGGATGCCAGGATTTTGGTTTTCTTAATGTTGAGTTTCAAGCCAACTTTTGCACTCTCCTTCTTCACCCGCCTCAAGAGGCTCTTTAGTTCCTCTTCACTTTCTGCGATTAGAGTGGTATCATCTGCATATCTTAGGTTGTTGATATTTCTCCTGGCAATCTTAATTCCAACTTTTGATTCATCTAGCCCTGCCTTTCTCATAACTACTGAAATCTCACAAATGTAGCTGCAAAATCTTAGCAACAACTTTTGACATAGATACCAGCTGAAGTACACTGGTAGGATCCATAACAGATTTCATAATTTCAGTGATGTAAGCTTCATATATAACACTGCAGCACTTTATTTTTTTTAAAAAAAAAAAAACTAAAATATCCCCAGATGTACAGAACATACTTCCTAATTTTTTTATACCAGGCTCTACGATTATCCCATCTAGTCTAAGGGCTTTTCCAAATGTCATCGTATCAACAGAATATAGAGAGAGTACCTGCATTGCTCATATACTGTATATTACAGTGTTGAAGCACTTTGGGGATATTTTTTCTTGTACCAATAAGGTACTTCTATATTCTGGGAGCTCCAAGAATATCTCAGTGTTTAGTTTTGTCTTTAAAATCCCTTGGGACATAGAGATGCATGTATTGAAACAAATGTTCATCTCTTCTGACCTTGGGTAGAAAACTTAGCTAGAGAATAATGAAATCTGCTGTGCCAGAAAAAGCACTTAAAATATTTAGCAACAACTAAGTAATTTTTTAAATATTGCAGTATCTCTTCAGCTTTGCGGTTTATTATTTTGGTTTCTCCCAATTCCTCAGCTGTTAAAAAGAATAGCATTTCTTCTATTTGTTGCTTCTGACTTCTGATCCTAACATCCTCCTTGTCTAATTAAGTCTGTAGAGATGCGGGAGATGGCAAAAGATGGCTACTCAGATAGTGATCAGTACTTACCCATGGAGGGCCACGGAAGAGCTGCCTCCATGCCACGATTGCCTGCTGAAAACCAGGTGAGGGTTTTCTTTTTTAAATCTGCATCCTGTTTGAACTTGAGAAGCTATGGTAACTTCCTCATCTCAGCATCCTCTTGTTTCTAAGGTTGTCATTCTGTTTGACAAGTATTCACTCACTTAAGGAGACAGTGATCTAGGGCCTGTACTGATGCAAAATGAAAGAATGTTTCCCAACCTTCCTGTCCTGTTCTTCAGATAAGGACCACACAATCTTTCCAGGAATTATCATGCTGTGAACGCTTTGCTTTTACATCAGAAATGAAATGGAAACACATTCCAGCAAGTGTTTTCCAAAAGACAATTAAGATCATTTGTTACTTATATCCAGAAAGGATAGGGTTACTTTTCAATGTGATATTTCATTTAAATTACATTTGAAAAAGAGATGATGTCATAACATAAATGTAAAATTTTTAAAAAAGTTCTTCAGAATTTTTTTAAATAATAATACATTTATCCATTTAGAAAGGGGTACATGAAATACACTGCCTATTGCAGATCACAGCATCTATTATCCTTTAGGACTCTCCAATCCCACTTAGTCATAGGCTGCATACTGACAAGGTTGAGAGGCAGGTATAAGTCGATCTTTTCCATCTGTGATTGAAGAGGCCTCTTGACACTATCTCTTGGACTCTACCTCTCATTTTGATCTCATTAAATTCATGCAAGATGCTTATTTCTCCTAAGCTAGAAGATTTGTGATATTGCTGCCTAAATTCTTCTAAAAATATTATTGAAAGTGTGCTTTACATGTATCAGAAGAACCAAAGACAAGATACAGAAGGACAAAAGAAACAATGTAATCTACAAAATCAAGTTTAACAATTGCAACCAATTCTACATCAATTAAAAAACAAGATCCATGAACACCAGCTGGCAGTCAAACACCACAATCCCAAATCCTTAATCTCTACCCACCCTGACATCAAACAAAACCAGTTCGATTGGAGCAATACAAAAATCATTGGCCACACTGGCACTCCAGAAGCAATTTCATCAACAGACACATTGACCAGCCTACAATTAGCCTATGAACCTCTCAGAATCCAAATCAACTGCACAGCCAACCAGAGACAGCACTAACCCTCGCAAGCTCCCCCAACCAGCACTTCACCTCCAATGACCCTCATCTGATGTAACCTCCCCATCACAAGACTCTCACTGATGACTCACACCTGAGCCATCACAAAACTCATCACAAGACCCTCACTTGATACACCCACACCTGACCCATTACAAGACTCATCACAAGACCCTCTCTTGACACACCAACACCTGACCCATCAGAAGACCTACTGACCATACAAAGCCTTTATAAACAGAAAAACACTGACACCCCTAAACTCTGCTGAAGATTTACCTAGCCTAGTAATGAAACCAATCCACGGGCTCAGAACGAATCTTCACCCTTATCCTACACCCGAGCCACAGATATTCACTACTATTGCAAAGTTAACTCTATTCTGATGTATTTATTCACAGATGATGAAAAAACTAATATAACTCCTAGTAATATCACAAAGTCAGCATTCCTGGCTACCACTGCCTGCAACTCTATTCCTTTTGCAATAACCAAGATTCGTGAATTCTTTTACGGCCTTCTATTCTTATGCTGGTGATCAATGTAAAAGGACCAAGCAATCCAGCAGAGACAGAAATGAATGTGCATTCTCAGTCTTGGCAAAGGGAACAGCATGATATGTTGTATAGATCTGCAGACACTTTGCCCTGCCTCTACTCCAAGCTAGTGTTACCTGTTCAACTATCATTATGAAGCATTAACAATCGGCAACCATTGAGAAATTGGTACACATTGCTTTCAATTTGCATCAATAACTAGTGCCCAGTAGTAGATAACATCTACTCCAAACCACATATGTAAGTTCACTAGTAGCAAACTAAGCTCATATTGCAGCCAAGAATTAAAACCGTAAATGATGGGGACAAGCTGTGTTTCTTAAATATTTTTTAAAAAAATTACTTAACAAAATAAGCAAATCCTACTTCAAGAGATATTTTTCATCCGTGGTGGAAAAAAAATGCCAAATCTCTGTCAGAAGAAGATTAAAGGAGTTTAGATATTTATTTATTTATTTATTTATTTATTTATTTATTTATTTATTTATTTATTTATTGGACTTATGTCCTGCCTTCCATTCAGAAGCCAAGACAGCATTCCCAGTACTCCTTTCTCCAATTCTCTCACAAGCGCCCTTGTGGGCTGCCTTGTTTTACTTTTATCTAATGTCCAATGGAGCATCCTACAATACCTAGGAACTGCACATTACATTTCCCTTGGCTCACATACCTGCTGCACAGCTGTCTTATGATGGTTTCACCCAGATTTAATGCCTCAGTAATAATCATTTTTTGTTGCCTTTGGCATCCTTGGTTGGATGCACAAATTCTACTCTAATGGTGCTGTGAGCAAACTAGAAATTTATTTTATTCTATTGGTTTATAGAGGGTTGTTTTGTTATGCTAGTCATGTCCCCTCTCTCTGCATCTTCAATGCCGAGTGGAAGAAAAAGCTACAGCTGTCAAAAAGCTATCAAGTTTGAGAAGCTATCTGGATATGGCCTGTCACAGCACAGCTCCTATCAGAGTAAAGGCTCTGACCTTCAGCAGCTATTGTCCAGCTAACAATGTTCTCTTCCTATTCTGGCATGCAGCATGTGTTATAGTAGCAAATTTTATAGGTTCTGATGCAATCTCCGCAATCAGTGTTGTGCTAGATTGAGGGTGGGGAGGATGAAGCAACGAGCTTGAGTGTGGGGGCTCTTTTGCTAAGCATGTGCCAAGCAGCAGTTGCTCTTAGCATGCTCTGCTATGTAGAAGCATTTACTATTTTACCAACAGGCTAAGCATCTTTTTGTTTCTGTGTATATGTGTGCAAGTGAGAGCTTGGGCATACTGTTATTTGAAGAAATTGCTCAAAGTAAGTGTACCATCTGCAACATTTCTTGCACAACTATACTTCTTGCTTCCGGCAGGAGGGACTACATCTTAATTTGCAAATATCTCAAGAGTCGGAATTTGGTGAAAACTTCAGATATAGCAACCTAACTACAAAACAATGGCCTTGCCTTTATAGTACAAACATAATGATCGTATTAACAGTCTTTACCAACTTGATGTGTTGCAATCATGCAGTCTCTAGTCATCCTGAAGTAGTCATTGATACTGGCTGACTGTAATAGGAATCATTTCCCAGTCCATCTGATATGTCTAAAAGTGTTCACAAAATTCAATAGCCTTCAGAATGACAAAATGAGTGTGATAGAGTTGTCATGCAAGCTCTTCTCTTTACATATGTGCTTGTGGCATCACAACACAGATTCTAAAGGAAAGGAGTTTGTGTCACAATGGCATGCATCTGTTTCATTGTTTACCCACTGCTGCAGTTGCCTTTGTTTTGTACTAGACTGGTAAAGGTCCCCATCATGATAATCTCTGACAAAAGAAAGCTACCTTGGGCAAACTGCATTTTAATTTAGATTAGCATTTGGCTTTCAGTATTCTCAGCAAAGGGTACCTCATCAATAATAATAGTGTGTATTAAGAAAATACAGGAGAAAATCTTAATGCTTTGATTCAGTACTGGTACTGGATTAATAATGCCTGCAATGTAGACTGATTGAAGAGTAGTCTAAGCAGTTCTTAGAGGAAAGTGTTGCTTTATGTAGTCTAATCATGGGAACTATGGTGCAAAACAATGGGTTCCTGTTTATAGGGAAGGCAGCAAATGGTGTTGATTCTCCTTTACCCTTTTGCATGAGCTTTGCTTCAGATCACCAGGGCTCAGAGACAGAGAGCGTTAAGGGGACAGAAGATGAATCTGCTAAAGGTTTCACAGTGACAGCTCAAAGTGAGGATCAGCCAAGTCACCTCAGACAAGTCATAGTATTTCTAAGAAATGTAATACTCTGTGATAACTACCACACCACCATACTGCCTGTATTTGATCTTCCCAAATTTGACAATTTTGTTTCCTTAATACTATATGCATGCACTTATTTTCCTTGCCCAATGCTGTCATTAGAATTCTTGATCATTTGGTAGGGTTGCCTTTTCTCTTATGTCACAGCTTCAAGAAACCATAAGAACTCCACGACAGCCCTATTTTTTGTCTGGCTGAGATGAATCCTGGACATCGCTATAGAATTTTTGCTGTTGCTATTTGTTCTTTGGGTTTTTTTGTAACAATTAAAGAAAATTACATAGTTAAATAGTAACTGCTGGTAAATGCTTATCCAGTATATAATTTAGGGTTGACTCATCATGTAGTTCTGTTGAATTGACACTTTGTAAATAATGTCCATACAAAAGCTATCTTAAAAGGGCTGATGCTAATCAAATGAATACAATTTTAGATTCTTTTATTATCTTATTTAAATCATTTACTTCAACCTTTACCCCAGGGAGTACCTTTAGTTACTGCATTTAGACATTCTCCTCACAGAAATGCATGAATAGTCCTACATTACTTTTCTGTTCCAAATAGAGTAGCTTTTGAAATGTTCCACTGAAGACACTAATCACATTGCATGTACAGTTTGAAAATGAACTTACTTCAGTGCCCTCTGAAATAAAATCCAACAGACAAGAAGATACTTTCGAAATACTTCTTTCACTATTTCAACCTCAGAAAAATAGTAGAGACTGGAAAATTCAAGAAGCCCTTGCACATGTCCTTAATTGCTTCATTTTTGTATGACTTTGAAATAATTCAAACTATATTAGGAAGTTTTACAACAGAAATATTTCTTTAAGAATTGCCCAGAGACAATGGGCAGTATAGAAATTAGAGAAGAGAATAGAATAGAATAGAATAGAATAGAATAGAATAGAATAGAATAGAATAGAATAGAATAGAATAGAATAATAACTACAGATAAGCCCCCAGTCTTAATTTGCTCTAAAGTATCATTTTATCTTTGGCTTGGGATGATGCCATCTTAATACTTTCTATGACAGGGGCAGGTACCTTTAATTTTGTTGCTGTAATCACCATAAAGTTCAAGATGAGTTTCAAGTCTTCCTACGCACAGTATAAGAGTTTCCAGCTCAGGGAAGTTTAATTCATCATTCTGAAAGCTTCTAGATGCCTCCTATTTTACTGCTCTAGATATGCAAAATAAAGCATTCTGAAAAATCCACTTAGTAGAGATATTTATGAGGGTACTACTACCAGCCATACTGACAACAGCAGCAGAAAAAAAATAGGGGTGATTAATTAAAATGCAGTTACCAATGAAGAAAATAAAAGCACCTATTTGCTATTTTCTCAGTTTGTGACCATCTGGAAGAAGACTTTCTTAACTCCCTATTCTATATCACCCTCACTTCATGCTTGTATAGTAAAAGGCTGTCTTGGTCAAACAGCATGCTCAAAAATCACTAGATTTTTGATCTAGATTAATGATCATAGTCTTTCTCCAGCATGGCAAATCTTTTTTCTCAAACTACGCTATAATAATAGTATTCAAATCTGCATCTATATATCTATCCATACATACATGCAAATGTGTATGTATCTTTATTTCTCCTTTTTGGAGGAGAGGGTTATGCAAATGCTACTTTGTATAACCTTTCAAAGGAAAATGGTTACTTATCCAGTTCTAACAGATAAAACAGCTTTTCTGTTCTTTAGAGCAGAGGTCCTCAACCTTTTGGGCACCAGGGACCGGTTATGTGGAGAGAGATTTTTTTCCACAGACTGGAGGGGGTGTGGTTTTGTGTGCTGCCTGCATCCCGCAGATGGGGCTTTGCTAGTTTGTGTGACCCAGTTGCTGGCATGCCACGGCCCGATACTGGTCCACAGACCGGGGGTTGGGGACCCCTGCTTTAGAGACAATTCAAGAATTGGATCACCCAAAAAACTCCTGTGGGAGCAGACTCTGCCAACCTTGCCTACTAGATAAACCAGGCAATATAATCATTCATATTTTACTTCTTAGTTCCTTCTACCAAACAGTAGCTCTTTCATCAGTCTATCAATATTTTGACAGGATACAAATAATATTTCAAATTCAAACAGCATACAGGCAATGGATTTCCTATCTTTAATTTTTCAACATTTTTCTGTTTCTAATTTTATAAATGTTCTTCTTTTTTCCACTGACCAACCCCTACTTACAGATTTTCCTGTAGTTTCTGAAGCAAGAATCTGCTTCCCTTGGGTTGGACTGGAAACACTAAAATAGAAGAAATGGGAAAATTCAAAAACTATGGGCTGGAGTATTTGTCCGTGTTTGGTTTGTGCATAATGTTGCAGCTTTTAACAGTGGCTGACGGTTCCAATGGCTGGGGCTTGTTGCGGCATGTTTGGGGGAAGATATGGGGCCTTGCTGTTGTCTCTGCTGCTCTGCTCAGCTCAGCTCAGCCTTACTCAACTCATCCCTTCTGAGACTGCCTGTCCCTTTGTGGTGTTGTCTAACTTTGTCAGTTATGGTTGAAGTAATCAAAGGAGGAGATGAGCTTTCAGCACTGGGCTAGACTGGTTTTATGCATAAATATGACATTAACTTGACTATTCTTTCCTTACACTTCCCCCCCCCTCCATCCCTTTACAGTACTATATTCTAGTTTCTCCTCCCTTCCCCTTGGTCCTATACCTCCCTATGCTTTTATATTTATTTCCTTCTCTCTCTTTCTTTCCCGTTTCTGTGTGCACCGTCTTGTATGGCTGCGACAGAGGAGGAAGGCGCGACCGCGAGGGAATAATCTCAGTGTATGTACTGCAGCCTGGACTCCTGGTTCTATGCGCTCGCTGCCTCCAGTTCCTTTCCCCTGGGTTCCTCAAAGTAGCAAGCTGCCAATTTTATGTGTCCATTTAGTCTTACACAAACTTTTCTTTTCTACTCTTTCAACCTGAAGCCCACACGGTGACTTTCCTCATTGCTACATTAAGTACTGTACAGGCACATCTTTCTCTCCAGTCCATGATTCTGTTGTCTTTTTGTCTGCATTAGGCTTTCTCATCAATTACTCTCTTATTCTCTGTTCCTTCCCTCTTCCATTATCTCTGCTTTTAACCACGCTCATTATTCAATTCCTGCCTCTGTTGTCTACCATACTAGTTTCAGTAGTCACCAAATAGTTCTCTAAGCCCGCTAGCTTAATGGCAAATGAATTTTCTGTGACTACTGTAGTTTAATGAAAAGTTGCTGTTGGGAAAGGGAGCTTCTAAGCTAGTTCAGACTTTTATTTTATTTATTGAGCCTAATTTCCATAGTTCCATCTCATCCCACAATACTTCAGGTATTTTAAGGTTCTATTCCTTCTTCAACTTGCTACCTTGGAAGGCATGAAAAAAACCAATAATCGTACCAGCAAGATTTTCCTCCCCTTATGAATAATTTTACTAGTGACCAGCCTGTGGCATCTTAAAAGATTTCATAATCCAAAATCCAGTGTATTACACATATCTTAAACACAGTTGTCAGTAGTATCACAATCACATATCTGGATAGCAATTCTGTATGCTAAATCCAATTTTCCAAAAATTACCCCATTAAATCCATTGGAATTTCTTTTTCAGTGGGTACCTATATGATTTTACTATATATCTATTCAATTTTTAAGATGGCGTAAGATCTTGCTTTGTTTATTTTTGTCCCTTAGATCCCCGTCAGCTCTTACCATTTTCTCTATTTTAATTTGGAGAAGAAATAGTTAATACCACAAGCAAAACCTATTCGCTCTTCTCACATGTTTCCAATAAACCCTGAATCCTAAATCCTACAACATTTGCCTTTCTTCCTTGTGCAAGATGATTAGCTGTGCATTTGTAGTTGAAGAATCAGAATTTAGCCAGGCCTTTCAGAACACTTCACTGTACTCAGTCACCAGGCTTTTTTCTTCACAGCAATAGCTATAGAGGTCAGAAGTGAGAGCATTTAGGTATAATAACAGTTTCCCTTAGTTTCTATAACACGTTTGGGACATGAAAGACAGAACTGCCAAAGAAAATGAAGATGCGGCATTGAGTTTTTGATCCCTCTATTGTATGTGTAAACTCTGCAGTTGATACTTGGTTTACATTGCCTTCACTTGGTGAATTGATAGCATAACGGTTATGACATGATCACTAAACATCAGCCCCCAAAATAATTCTGTGCAGTGAATCTATAGAGTTCGTCCAACTAATTGTCTTCCTTATTACTATGACTTTAGTACAAACGAAATGCTTCGGAATTCCTAAAACATAAGTATACCAAATATCATTCTAACAGGGACAAGACTTATAAATTTATTTGAGCCTTCAGGTAAGTTTAGGATGGATAGTATGCCTATTCTAATTCAAGAATCATAAGCCATTCAGTAAGTAATCATTATGTGACTGCAAAGAAGACTAATCAGCTATAAAAGTATAGCTTTAGAGTGATTTCAAGATGAGATTATATATGATAACGTGAATATTTTTAAAAAATGGCATGTAAGATTTTAAAAAAGGAGTGTGAAATTATACTAGTTAACAGTTTTTTTCTGACATAATGTTGACTATCTCAGGAAAAAATAATTTAGATTTACAGGTATGGATGTTAGGTTAATTTAATGCATTCTGCACAGAAAATTATAATTAATATTTTAGCGGTCCTAAGATAAAACACAATGAAATTAAAATGTTAGGTTGCAAAGTTCAGCTGTGAAAAAAGGCAGTTGTGACTCTGCATTATGGAAGAATTGTAAATTTATTACCCAAGAACAACTTCCCAAACAAGCAAGCAATGCAACAGAAACCTCTGGAGATGACAATTCCTTCTCAGCTATGAAACTCTTAGTCCTTCATTCCTGGAAAGAATTCAATATTTAGATTTTAGGATATGCCACTGAAAGACTGCAATAATCTCTATCTTCTGCCTTTCCCTTATTACCTTATTCTGCCATTCTGTATTACTTTTAATATTTTTAATATAGTTGTAAAGTTCGGTCATATGCTGTCTTTTTCATTAAGTACAAGTTTCATGAAATTGCCATTTTGGAAGAGAGATTGCTTTTCTTATTTCCTGCATCCCATTAGGAATGGACAGGACATCTTGAAGAAGAAAAGCTTCTTCACTTGTTGCTGATGTTCTTTAAGATAATCTCAATCAATTCTGAGTCCTTTCCCCAGATGTTCGTTGCCATGTCTTTCCATTGGTCTCAGAAAACTATCCAGAAAAATTGATTCTAAGTTGCACTTTACAAAGGGGTTTTTAGCAACTCTGCAATCTTTGTTTGATTACTTACAATTGTGGCTCACCATGCACACCAGTCCTGTATTTAGGAGGCACCCACAACAGTTTTTTTGATGGGAAGAGGCTTCTGGTTGCATATGCATTTGTCCCTCTAGGTGGGAAAAGGGGAGAGACATCAGAAAGTACAGCAGTTACAAGTGAGTAATTTCTCTTTTGTTTTGTTTTCCTCTGTGGATCAGAAACTGTTGAGTAGTAAGGGAGCTGGTATTTTGGGTTTTCAGGAAGACCTGAACCTAGAACTTCCAAGATTCAATTTCCAAGCCTGGTATTATTTGTTCAAAACAGTATAAGGAATCAGGTTTCTGGTAGTTCAAGGACAAATAGATCTGAGCGAATCCTTTCACTCTATAATACAGGGAGGTAGTGTTAGTTTTTCCAGGAGGATGATTGCTTGTCCAGTTGATCTTTGCTCTGCACAAACATAATGATGGAACACATTATATTTGTGAAAAGAAATACATTGTAAGATTAAGACACATTGCTGATTACATATGAGTAGAATATTTTCTTTCCCTAAAATTTAGCTAGACTATGCTGAAAACGTAAAACAACAACAGAAATATAGCAACAGGCTTAGTAATTCCAGTCTTGTCTGATATTACTCAGTGGAATGGCTTGCCTCCAGAAATTGCGAATGCCCCATAACTGGAGGTTTTTAAGAAGAGATTGGACAACCATTTGTCTGAAATGGTGGAAAGTCTCCTGCTCAAGTAGAGGGTTGGACTCCAAGGTCCCTTCCAGCCCTGTTATTCTATGTTCTATTTCCGGATGGTTTTGATTGAGACATATGCTAATGTTCTTATTTATTTGCCCTATTTATATGGCTACCCATCTCACAAGAAGCGACTCTAGGTGGCATGTGAGAATCATTAAAACAATAATTATTAAAATATAAAAAGTCCCATTAAAATTGAAAAACACTATTAGAAATTTCAAACATAGAAAACTACACAGAGAGAATAAAAAGACCCCACAATGGAATCATGTAGGAATGTCTGCAGTTCCCTGGGATACTTAGACCTGGCAACATAACCAGGTTTTGAGGGACATCCAAAATGATAACTGGAAAGGAACTAACCTAATTTGGAGGATGAAAATGTTCTATAGGGCAGGCACCACTGTGGAGAAGGCCCACGTCATGGAACCCATAAATGACCCCTGGTACCCATAACATGCCTTCTCTGCCAGTTTTAATGGGATGGGCTGAAGTAATTGGAGAGAGACATCCCCTCAGACAGTCTGGTTATGTACCCTCAAGAATTTTAAAGATTAAAACCAGCACCTTGAATTGCACCTGGAAGCAGACTGGCAGCCAACGCAATTTGCAGAGCACACACAATTTACCTGCACTACTCTATTCTGCACCAGTTGATGCTTATGGATACTCCTCAAAAGTAGCTCTGTGTAATAGTCCAAGGTGAAGATAACTAGAGGAGAAATTTCTGTCACCAGACCCTTCCAATCCAGGAAATGGTGCAACTGGTACACAATACAAAGCTGTGCAAAGGCCCTCCTAATATGACTGCCACCTGCTCAGGAGTGAAGTTGTGAGTCTAGGACAGGGGTGTCAAACTGCCGCCCATGGGCCGGACACGTCACGCAGAAGCCACGCCCACCCCATTGCCAGCAATGGCAAAACAGTCCTGATCCGTTGCGCGACGTCACGTGATGTCGTGAGTTTGATATGTCTGGTCTAGGAGAAGCCCCAGATTGTACACCATGTTTGTCAGTATCACCCCATTCACAACCACAGATGACATAGTCTTAGAACCTGATTTATTGTGTATAATGGCACTAGAAAAATCCAGGGCTAAGCATGAAGAGGGAAAACCAAGAATTCCCCCAGTTTCAGATCACATAGCCACTGCTCCAACAGAAACACCAGATATGGAGCGTGACCACTGTCCAGCGATGGGCTCTGAATTACCTGGGATGGGCCCACGGCCAATATGGTGCAATCCAGAATGGAATCAAGGAGTTCCTGCAGCAAAGTTAATTATGCAGTATAGGGAGACTGGTACAGCAGCAACAATCCCAATTGATCCCCAGAGTCCAGCTTAATGAACAGGATCTAATATCGAATGATCTGTGCTGCAACATCCCTGAAAGCTGTAGGGCACTGGTGGCGAACCTATGGCACGGGTGCCAGAGGCGGCACTCAGAGCCCTCTCTGGGGGCACGCGCACCATCGCCCCAGTCCTAGGCCTTCAGCTGGGTTTTATAAAACCTTTTCGCTTTAGGCCTCCGCTGCCATGTGCAAAAAAAAAAAAAAAAGGTTCAATCAGTCAATTTCAACTTCTCATGGGAAAAATAATCTTGCAAAGTTGGAATTGATTGATTGAACTTTTTAGTCCCAGTCTTCCGTTACCACCACAGCCATGCCCAGCCAATGGGCCACACCCAGCCAATGGGCCACACCCACCTGGCACCCGACGATGCATAAGTGGGTTTTGGGTTGCAGTTTGGGCACTCGGTCTCTAAAAGGTTCGCC